GAAAAAAATTTTTTTATTTTTTTTCCTTTGGCAGAACTTCGTTATATGAGAAAAGAAAACTTCTGACCAAAATTCGTTCAAATCGAAAGGGGTCGATTCCAACTATTGGCCGATTTGACATGGAATGACCCATATATGAAAAAATAATATCGTGTTGAATATTTAAAGGAGCTATAATAAAATTGTAAATGAAATTAATTTCTTGTATTTTATTTGTAATTAACTCAATATTAAAATTATTTTTTTAATTTATTCTTGTCACACACGATAGATAACTATTTTATTTTATCGACGTTTGATATAAAATTGTGTAAAAATTGAAAACAGTATTAACGTTATTAGTGAAAACTTCTTGTATATTGAAACTTTACTTTCAACAATTTATGTATGACACGTCAAGTAAAATCTATTTCTGAAAAAATATTTAGCTCTCGAATCGATCATTTTTGTCACGCTCATAATACATCCTTAAATTATAAATTAGCAATAATAGTACAAAAATTTTTTGTTTTTCTTACATTATCCTTAAAGATTTGAGTCCTGCTAAAGAATCTTTCTGTACACACTGGAGTTTGTTGTAGCTTATTATCCTGAAAAAAAAAGAAAAGAACAAAAAGATATCAAAGTTTACATAAATTCACTTTATATTCTGTCTAAGAATACGATGACAGGTAATGAAACTTACAGGTGAGATAATTTAGTTAAATTCTTGAAGGTGTCATTCGCCAGCATAACAATCTGGTTGTTACTCAAGTCCCTGTCAAATAATAACAAGTCAAAAACACTCGATGTGACCAAAACTGTCAATAATTATTGAAAAAATGTGAATGAGTATTGACAACTGATACTTACAATCTTGTCAGCATCCTCAAGTGGCTAAGTCTCTCGGGTTGAATCGTTTTTATGTCATTTACGTCAAGGTACAGTTCAGTGGTCTCTGGTGGGATGCCACGGGGTATTTCCGTTAGATGTGATCTGGAGCAGCTTACCACTGATCCTGCACAGTGACATCGCGGTGGGCAGTAATCGTCACCGAGACACCCGACACTATCACCTGAGACATTAAAAGTGTCTTAAGTTATAATGATAAAAATTACAATAATTCATATGCTTCATTTTTTTTTTTTTAATCAGGGAAGTGATGGACAGCTTGACTTAATTATTTCGAGTATCTATTTATTTTCCATCAGTAAAACCTAACAGCCATAGAAAAATGACAAGGTCACTCAATACAGATACTTATAAATAGTTTATAATTTTGGCAGAACTATAAAATTTTTTTTCCTAATCGTTTAATTTTATTTAAACCAGAATTAATTATTAGATTGTCTAATAATTATTAATTATTAAATTAACAATAAATTGATTAAATCGAAGGTATGCGAAGTATTGAAATTATTATAAACAATTATGGATAGTTATCACTACGCAGGGATCTGAGTATTGGAAGTTTAAAATAGATAAATCCAATTTAAAAGTCCTAAATTTAAAAATAGATCATTTTTTTAAAACTATTACGAATTTATGGTACGGAAATAAATTTATAAGAACTTTTATCAGTTGTCAATTAAAGCTGAAACGTGAATTAAATTATGGTAATTATTTTCTATCTTTGCCAAAAATTAACATTCAATAACTTGAGAACCACTAAATTTGGTTCGTAAAATTGGTATCTAAAATTATATTTTAATTCTATTATTTTTAGTGACCTGAGAATAAAATATGTATTAACTGATATAGTTGTGAGGTCTATCAAGCTAGCATGAACTCGTACATCATGCATTGACTTACTATTCAAGCAACAAAATTTAGTGTGGTGATAAATTCATTGCTAATAACTTTCTCCATTTAGAATTTGATTACTTGTTTAGATTCCAAGAAATCGATAATAATATCAGTCCAAAATGGGTTTTGTTATTGCTAGCTTGACGACGCTATATATAGTTGTGAAGAGTACTAGACATTTATTAGAAACAGAATATGACATCCAAGCTTTATAAGAGTTTTCCATTACGAAACATTTTAACAATAATACCAGTGTTTCGAAAACATTTATAACATTTCTCTTAATGAATTTTCATATTTTTACATCATATCTGCAGAATCTCTTTGAATATTAGAGAAAGTAAAAATAAGTATTATTTCCTTTAAAAAAATTAGAAAATTAGACAGTTTGTGCAGATATTTCACAGAATATCGTGATAAAATAACAAATGTACATTTTTATGGGGAAATAAGACTGATGTTTAAGAGTACCTTTGACACAAAAATATATTTGATCAATAAAAATTTGAAATTACGTACTTCTAAATTATAATACTTTCATTTATTATTATCTAACGATATTGGGAAAAATATTATTTCGATTAATTACTTTACGCATATAATTTTTAAATAAGGCGTTTGCGCTCGTGGGTTCGTGCACCCATTTCGTCACTTGTTCGTTCAACATACCCGCAGTAGCTAAAAGCTTTATTCATTGTTACATAGTTAAATGTATTGAAAAATTTTTTTATCGATTTTCTCAACATTTTCGATATTTTTTGTCAACGACAGGGAACATAAGCTTTAATTTCAAGAAAAAGAACATTGACAGTCGAGAATATAATTTTGTTTTATCTTTAAAATTTACTTTCTCATTTACTAACAAGTAAACTTTTTTAGTACGTATAATGAAAAATTTAATCTCGATTGAAAGAATGAATAATTATTCATAATGATACAAATGATAAAAATTCTATCTTCAATGAAGCCATTCCATATCTTTCAATTGATAAAGATACACATTTATGTATTTATAATATAAACATGAAAAAATATATATATAATAATAATAAAGAAACTTACTGTTGCATTTGAACTCGTGACGCGGAATATCTTTAACGTGGGCGTCCTTCAATCTCGGAGGATCGTGGCATCGTCCAATGACGCCTGGAATGTCGCGAGTTCTCAACCACTCGGCGAACCACGCCAGATGACAATTGCATGATAAAGGATTGCCTTGCATGTTGCTGTAAGATTATTATTATTATTATTATTATTATTATTATTATTATTATTATTATTATTATTATTCATATAGCATTTAAGGAAGCTTTAATAAAATAAAGCTAACTGTAATGTTACGACGAAATTTAATCGAACTTACATTTCGCGAATGTGAGCTAGACCCTCGAATGAACTCGGCATCACACAAGTTATTGCATTACCGCTCAAGTTTCTGTTTAAGAAAAATAAAAAGTATAAAAACAAAATATCAGATCGATAATAGTAAAATAATAGTTAATCGTATTGTGTAATAGGATTTCGATATCTTGAAACAAGTTGTTTAAATAGAATAGATACTTACAAAGTTTTCAAGTTAACCAGCCCTGTGAACATCTTATCGTGAACTTCTCTTAGTTTATTGTCAGACAAGAGCAGTTCAGTAAGTTGATGAGCTCCTTTAAAAGCAGACGCTTCTATTCTGGTAATTTTATTTCTTCGAAGATCTAAGTGTTGTAATTCTGGGAGCTTTTCAAACAGACTATCGGCTTTGATTTTTTCAATCTCATTATTCCCCAATAATCTAAAGTTATAGCGAAAAAAGAGAATTCATTAATTGATCATAAAACTTTATATTAAATTTTTAAGTGAGTTATTTATAAGGGTGTGGAAAAACTTTTTCTTTACTTAAAGAGTTACTTTTAACTTTGGAGTGTAATAAATTTATCCAACAAGAAAAAAGTTATTATTTATAAAACAATTATTTTCAATTCAATGTCTAATGATTAATTTTTTTTTTTACGAAATTTCAAATTTTTATTGTTTAAATTTGTTTCAAAAAATCAGTTACGTCAATCGACAATCCGTCGTACCTGAAACACGACAATTGTAGACAAATATTACTAATCAGTTGTTTTTTTTTTTAAAAAGATTCGCTATAGTTTAAGAAATTGCTTAAGAGTCAAATAAAAAAAAACGAATTTTGATACGTCAAGTTTAATTGTAATCAACAAAACTTGAAATTGGTAATTGACGCTAAATAACAAAAATATATTCAGTCAACTTCCTTTAAAAGTGCTTTTTTCTCTGACTCTCACTTATCGTTACTTATTATCCGATGGGCGTTCTAAATGCTATGTCGAAACATTAGCTACTACACTGATACAAAAGTGAACTTGACTTAAGAGAAAAAATTTTGAACCATTTTGAAAAAAATAATAACTTTCTTGAATCAAGAAAAAGAAATTCTTGAGCCAAAAAATTATTCGTGATTTAATCAAGTAAATTTTTCTTGGCTCAAGAATTTTTCATTTTGATTTCAGAAATTCATTTTCTTCAAGTGCTATTCGTGATTTAAGATTTTTTTCTCTTGAGTCAAATTCACTTTTTAAACATTTAAAACGCACGCTAAACGTTTTAATTTTTTTCCACGAAAAATTCAGAGTAGAAAAGTCGCCGGAAAATTTTCGCGAACCTTTAATTAATGACCGTATACGATAATCCTTAAAGAGCGTCCGACGCATATTATTCCCACAAAAATTTATTTTAAAAGGTAAATTTTGGCAACTATGCAGAAACCTGAAAAAAATCTTTAATGGCACTGAGTGGTAAGTGCTTATTTTCTGAAGTTTAGCACAGCAAATGGTGAAGTTGTTTGTCTATTTCGACTTCAAAAAATCTTGACATCAATAACTAGTTTGAATTTTCGAATTGACTGATAAATTTAACATTTTTCGAAAAATAACATCATTTATTCAAAGCCGTAAAACGGACGATAGAGACTAAGGGCCATTCAAAGTTTCCCAACCATGTTTTGGGACTTAATCACTTGTGAAGAAGTTGCTGCATTTTCAAAAGCCAATATGAGTCGCTATCGCTCATTTCAAGTTGGTAATTATTTTTTTAAAGGTGAATTTGAAAATGAATTGTCACGAATACCAAACCGTGGGGAACTTTTAAAGAGTAAGCACCTCTAGAGAAAGTTGACTATAAGAGTGATAGAAGCACTAAATTTAATTTCTTTTTTCTTCTTTTACTCCTTCCTTGTCAAAATTATTTATAGTCATATTTTTATTATTATATTCAATATTTTTAATTTTTCTAAACATGAAAATAATTGTTCTGTTGTTTATTGCTTAAAAAAAAAAAAGGTGGATCAAACTTCTAACAAAAAAATTAAGCAACTTATTTACATACTACAGATAGTTCTTGTAACAAAGAAAATAAAAACACAATTTATTTAAAAGGGTTGTTTAAATTCATTTTATAATTCCCAATAAAACTTGCATTGAAGTAATTGTTCTTGTTGTTGAAAACTTGTAATGTAACTTAAGCTTGATACTCGTACGAAAAGTATTTTAAATTAGTTTTCAAAGTCTCAAGATATTATGATATCACAAGAGCTGTCAGAACTTAAAAACAAACAAAAAAAGTCCTTAAATAATATCTTGAGACAGGAAATTAATTTCAAATGGACGCGGTAATTCCTTGTAACTTTGGAGTGTAAATTTATGAGTTTTTAAAATTGAATTAACTTCTTGTAAGAGGCTTGAGAACTAGCAAAATTATATATAAATAAATAAAATGAAAAATAAATTACAGTGTTGATGTGTAAATCGGCAACTCTCGAGGAATCGACGTAAGTTTTTTATCAGAACAATTTACAGTTGCTCCGTTGCACGTACAAGGTGATGGACAAGCTCCTGGTAGAATACACTCACCGGCTCTCTTGGTCAGTAACTTTTCGTCACCTGGAAACATCACAATCTCTTGGGTACAGACTAGCATAAATAAATCTGCCTGTTCTATTCTTCCGTCATCAACTTTTATTTCTTTTTTATTTTTTTATCAATAATAATAAAATATTTTAATCTCAATAAAATAATCACTTGATTTGGAATGGAATATGAATGATATGATTAACGATTCGTGGTGATGTATGACATTTAAAACATTAACAATTAATATACATCACCACATACGTAAATAATAAATTAGGAGTTTATATTAAACGATTATTATATTAAATTATCAAGTGTCCATGCGTCATCACCTGAATTGACAAGTATTAGGAATTCCAATCACTTTGGTTGGTTCTGTTTAATTATTTTACGTACACTGATAAAAAATTGCCTTGACTCAGAAGAAATAATATTTTTAAGAAATTTAAATTAAACCCAATTTATTATTCTTGCTTTAAAAATTTTTATCTTGGATTTCCAATTCTTGGCTCAACGACTCTTTATCTTCAGTCGATGACCATTGTCGTTTGTTGACGGTACATTACTTATGATCGATAAAGCATCATTTATACAAACATAAATCTCGATAACTCGAATAATTCAATTTTCTTTCAAAATTTTTATATTTTTTATTCATAAACTAGATTTTTGCATTCAAATTATCATAATAATTAAAGTTATTACTTCATCATTTTCTGACAAGTATTGCATGTCTTAAGCGCGAGTGCGAAGGTATGCTCTTTTATCATAGTCACAATCAAGATCTAAACCTTTTTTCATATAAAATTGTATTTTAAACTTATGATGTACATACAGTGACGCAAAAAATACACCGTCAACAAGAAAAATGATAGTTAAACTCATCAAATTTTTTTTAATCGATTGATTGCTATTTTTACTTTTGAAACATTTTCTGTTTTTTAAACAGCCATATCACGGAGAGAAAAACTTCGTCAGAATAAGAATACGTGTCGTTATTCTGACTATACGCCATATACTCATTTTTCTTAGAGCTACTTTGTGTAGCCAATTCAGCCATACAGCGGATAAGTCAAAATGATGATCCGTATGATTATTTTAGGCGTTACATTTAGTTGATGCAACTATACAGATCCTCACGTTGACAAAACAGTTGCCTGTTTTGACGAAACTATACATATATTTATAAGAGCAATTCTCTGTATGCTTACGTGAAACAAATGAATCCTTAAATCAGAAAACCGGATTGTTATTTTGAGGAAATATCATTTGAAGATACGTTGGATAATCATTTTAACAATATTTTTTTTCCGTGTACAAAAAAATTAATTTCTCAATACAGCTTGTAGATAGCTAATATTATGTTCAATTGTGTAGCTAGCTGACCAGCGGTAATACAATCTTCTGATTGATTCTTTTTTTTATCGTTCATTCATTTAAACGGGAGAGGGAGTTCAATCCGTGTAAAGAAAATACTATCCATGAAAAAATCTATACGAGCTTCAAATAGAACTATAAATAAAATTAATTTCATGAAATTTGTTTGACATTTTCTTTTCATAAAATTTATTTTTATAGTGCCATAGTAGAGGGTTTTTTTTCCTATCAACATTTGATTAAAAGTTATTAAAAAATTGAAAATAGGATTAAAAGTATCAGTAAAAACTTGTACATTTCTACTTTATTTTATTTTATTTATTCACGCTCAAGGTATGCATATTTGAATGTACCAAATTTTTTTATGTACATCAAAAAAGGTTTATAAATTATCATTTTTTTGAGAATGATGTAATTGTATGCAGATTTTTTCAATTCGAAAGTTTCAATTTCTTGAAGCAAGAGTGAAAATATTTTCCATGAATCATGGGGTTTTTTTTTCAGTGTACGTATAAAAAAACATAATTAATAATGATAATACAAACATTAACATTAATATAAGCGTACATACCATGAGTAAAGACAGGGTAGAGTTAAATCTGTTTTAGCAAATAAAAAAAAAATGTGATAAGCATTCACTCTAAACATTCACGTGCACACAACATCAAAAGAGTTAAAAGAAGAGATAAACAATTCAGATGAAAGAGAACGTGGACGTTATGAAACACGTTCTATATATCTCGCAATATTTTTTCTCTCTTTCTGGCTCTGTCCTTTCACAATGCAGTGACGATAATGACGATGACGATGATGATCATGATGATGATGGTGACGATGATGATGATGACGAGATGAAAGCTCCGGGATAGTGGAGAAGGATAGATAAGGTTACCGACCTGAACCATCCTGCCGAAGTAAGAGATACCGTAAGTCGAATCATGCTTACCCTTACATTTGAACTTTTCGTCCCGCATAACGTCAATCTTTCGCTTAGCAGCTCGTTTGGGAGATTCACATTTAGCCCCGGATGTTTCGATTGGATGCTCGTGGAGATACAAGCTCAGCCACCGTAAGTTGCAATCGCAAATAAACGGATTTTTCGCTAAATGTCTAGAAAGTAAATATTTATCATTATTATTTAGTTTACTGATGTTATTAGATTCAATTAGTTACTAAAAGTTTATAATAACAACAATAATACGTACAGTGTTCTGATGCTACGCAGATTGGCAAAAGTTCCATTGGCAAGTGATTTAATGTTATTATCGTAGAGTGATAGCAATGTTAAACTGGTGAGGTCACGAAATAGATCGGTACGTATACAGGAAATATCGTTGGCATTTAGTAGACTGAAATAACAACGGGAATAATGATTAATTAACGAGTTTGTGACACAAACTCTATTCTATTCATATCATCATCGTAGAGAAATGAATTTGCAGAGAAAGATAACACTAACAGTTATTGAATCAATATGTGCACTAGCACGTTCATTTATTTTAATTTAAACTCACAGTAATTGCAAACTAGTTAGTCCTTGGAATACTCCACCAGGTAGTTCGGTTATTTGATTACCGTACAATACTCTGAAAATAAATATTTCAAATTATTTTATAAAAGTGTGATAGATTATTTCTTTCTAGTTTCTTTTAAAAATATGTCAATTCATCATTTTTCAAAAGTATTTTTCAAAAATGAACTGAATTTAAATATTATAAGCAGTTGGTCATAACTTCTAAATATTTTCTGAACTATTGAATTTTTATTTGTTTAGAATCATTTTTCACGTAATTTGACCGCTTTCTACGCTAAAAATGATGAACATGCTTTAATTTTGAGTAGATATATCGATGTCTAAAAGTCACTCGAGACATTTTTAACTTTCAACACAGTGAAGTTAAAATGTATTTGAGTAACCAGAATTTAAGGCAGTTTTGTGCGATTTATAGTTTATGCTATTGCTTTCTTTCTCACTCTCTAGTCTTGCCTCCCATATCGAATAGTATTTTAATAAATATGAGCTGTTCACAAAAATTTAATTCTTTTCTCTGAAAGAAAATAAAAATTTTTCATTTGGTCACTCTCTTCCCGTACCGTCGAAAAATGTCATTTTTAAATCTTTCTCACGTTAAGTATCATCTTTCGATTTCAAATTTTGAGGAAAATTGTATTTTAATATCTTTAATAAATATATCAAAATTTAGAATTTTCTGACATTATGCCGATAGAACAACAATCATCTTAAACTAGCTCCTTAAATTGAATGCGATAATTTATAAACATTTTAAAATAATAAGAAATGAAAGATAATGTACGTCGATTTGGTGTAGGGTACCAGCCTAATATTTGTCACTTAAAATGCTGTGGCAATAGTTGCCTCTCTGTCGTACATTTGTGCCTGGTGCTTTATTACTATTCTCCAGTATGTCAAAATTGCGAAAAAAAGTTTTTAATTCTTTGATACTCATGTTTATAGGTCGGTAAAACATATTTAAGCTTACATTAAAGTTAAAAAATCTTGAGCATCTAGAAATAAAAAAAAAGAATAAAATTTTTTAATGTTTATCATTTGAACGTCGAAAAATCAGAATCACGAAAAAAAGGATAAAAAATAAAATTCATATTTTTAGAAGATTTAAAAATTGTGGAAATCTTTCAATGCTTTTAACATATGATGAATATTTTTCCATAGAAAACTTAAAAAAATCATTTTTTCGTGCCATCCTAATGTATACTAATTTCGTTTTTATTTGCATCTAATTAAATTAATGACCATCGTAGTAATTATAATCACTATTAATTAAAATCTATTATAACAAAGATGCTTACAGAGATTCAAGAGACTTTAATCCATGGAAAGCGTCAGCAGCAACTTTTTTTATTTTATTATTACTTAAATCAATTCTCGATAATTTTCTATAAGGTGAGAACGCCTTCGGCGGAATTTCCGTAATGCTATTTTGCTCAAGCCGCCTAGAAAATAAAAAAAAGGCATTACAATTATGCGTCATCATAGTTAATTAATTGGCTGTGTAATGTGATTAATCGATTGACTGGCTGATTAATTAATGAATTGATAAATTAATGATAGTAATGATGATGATGAGTTGATATGGTATTTGAATATAATTACAATTCAGTGGTGTCCTCAGGGAGATGAGTTGGTACTTTTTCCAAAGAACTCTCGCGACAATTGACAATTCCATTGGCACATCTGCACGGATGTGGACACTGAGGTTCAGCAGTACACTCGGATCCAGTCCGAACTTCTACAAGGCCTGGGCACTTGAACTCGTGCTCCTGGAAGTGAAAATAAATTCATCAGCCAATTACATTGGCATCTGGTTTGAGTGTTTCAAGTAGTCTGGTCAGCAGTTTTAACAAACTTCTTTTTCTTTCGTGCTTTTTTTCTTTCCATGAATTCTTTTTATATTACAAACTCTAGTTCTAAAGATAAACTTAACTCAAAGTACCAGAATACACTTTTACTTTTTAATAATTTTGTTTTTTCAGAAGTAAAAAGTGAAAAATGTCGAAGTAGTGAAACCGACGGTCAAAGAAACAGAAAATTATGAAAATTTGACTCATTTGTCTGAGTTATACTTTTTATTCCACCTTAAAAGTAATGAATTATATGGTAAATGTAGTAAAAAGGTCATTTTGTATTGAGTTTTATTTTTTTTTCTTCTTACATATTTTGAAGAAATGAAATGAATAAAATTAATTTCTATTGCACGTTTTAAAAGCAAAACAAATGGCTAATTTGTAATACATTCGTATTAGACTTCTTACATAATTAAATTATTTAAAAATGATAACTGTATGCGTGTACTCTGTTGTATCTATCTAATTCCGTGTTGTTTAATATAATTGATTAAAAATTTTTGTGGATATCTACATTTGAGTATGAATTTCGTCCTAAGTCTCACATGCGCACTATCAGCTGGTTTGTAGCTATAGCACATGCGTTGTAGGTTTCTCATCGGAGTGAAAATGCTGCGAAAAATTTAAAACTAAAATTCAGTCACAAATTATTTCTAGATTTTGAAATTTGGCAGTATTTATTACAAAAGTTGATTGTTATGAATGTATAAAAATGAATCCTCTGATAAATTGATGCATAATCTGATTTTTAATCCTACACATTTTTTTTTACAATTCTATTATTTCCGTTTTTGTATAAGTTTTGGAAAATAAAAAATTTAGTTCCGTTTTACTTCAAGTCAGCAAGATAACTTACTTTCTCATAAAAATCAAATATTTCCAATCAGATGCAGAGCGCAATCACGCTTCGCGCTTAAAGTGTGCAATCTACGTAATATTTACCATATTTATTGTATTATTTTTATTGATATTATTATCATTACTTGGTTTGGCTTATTTTATGTAGTAAGGTCTATTTAAATGAGATTTACAAAAGATATTCGTATTTTAATAAAATTACCCCGATGCCCACCCACAGAATTGGCATTTTATACAAACAAAGTGGTTTAAACTAAAAAACATGAATAAGAAAATAGTTAAATACTACAGAAGAATAAACGACAAAATCATCTCAGCCATATACAGAGACGATTATTCCCGGTTGTAACATTTATTATTATTCTTTTGTAGTTACTTTAAAGTGCCGGTATAAAACTGGTTATTCACTTTATTTAATGTATCGTATATGCGTACAAAAAAAAATAATGGGTTAAGTTTATTGTGTACGAGCATTTAAAGTTGAGTCAAAAGACTAACTAAAGATCTCAGACTCTTTTCCACTACACGGTTTATGACATACTTGCAAATCGACGAGATTCTGTCCCTTGAGATGAGCCGGCGCGGCACATTTCGTATGCTGTCCAAGCCGCGGAACACTCTTTAGATGGCGTGACAGCCAGGCTAGATGACAGTCACAAACTAGAAAGTTGTCCGTGAGTTTCAAGGTACGCAATCGCGCTAAACCAAATAACATCTCTTTCCCAAGGGTTGTTAGTTTGTTGTTGTTCAATGTTCTAAAACAATTTTGTTATTTTTAATTAATGCAAAATTATAAATAAATTTTTTTTTATCGATACTTACAGAATTTCCAAGTCTTTCAGTTCTCTAATAGCACTTTCGTCAATGCACGTCAGTACATTATTATCAAGTAATCTGAAAAGTAAATTTATTATTTGTTGTTTATTACCAGGCCCTATTATTTAATAATATTGATTTTCGTAGTGAACAGTAAAGTCAAAACTTTTTTCTATCTTTCGATTGAAGAATTAAAGATCGCGGAAAATTGATATTTTTTGTTCATAAAAAATTTCAAATTTCTCTATAATTCGTTGGGACACCTACTTTTTTATTGTTTAGATCAAAAACTTATTATCTTTTTAATCACATCAAATGAAAATAAAATTTTTTAACGATTTTTATTTGTATAAAATAGTCATTAAAATGCAAAGTTAAATAGATTTTCAAAACTAACTACTTCATGAAAAATTCGGGACCAAATTAGAAACATCAGATATTTTTGATTTTTTTACCTGCACGGAAAAAAGTGGTATAAAAATCATATCAGATGATATGAAAACTGTGCTACTGGTGATGCTGACTGAGGTGATTCTAAAATTACACCACATAGTGATGTAAAATCTGTATCTATAATGTATATTATTTAAATGGAAGATATTTGACGGTTTCTATACTTTAACCTTGTTTACAATAGACAGTGAACACACGTAGATAGGAATTTTTGACTGGTATTTTTATTAAAAATTCTTTTAATTTTCAATTTGCAAAATCATAGTTTACATATTTCTTATGTATTTATTATTATTCTAAGAATAATTATGAAAAGCATATTTGTTTAAATCGATGACAGAAAAATATTTATTAAAATAAAGTCAATATAACTATTTATCAATAATTACTTTAACTAATGCATAGTTTGATTAACTATAAAAAAAAAGTCTATAAATCCATATTTTTACACTTGTTACGTTATAATTCAGCTAATTATGCATTTTTCTGTTAATGTGTAACTCTAATATTAAACCACTAATGAAATGCAATTTTAGTATCACTTGTGGTGTAAATTTTAAATCAATATTTTTTTCCGTGTAACTGTTTACTAATCACTATTATTATTACACAGTAAAAAATTTTGCGTCATTGCGTCGAAAAATTTTGTGTTAAAAATTTTGTTGTTAAATATTTAAACACTTTATGTTAAATTTAACATTTATTGTGTTAAATTAACACAGAAAAGTGTTAAATTAACACAAAAAAGTGTTAAATATTTAACACAAAAATTTTTAACACAAAATTTTTTGACGCAATGACGCAAAATTTTTTACTGTATATGATTATCATAAAAAATGAAAATATTCTTACAAGTGCTTCAAAGCAGACACCCCCCTCAGAGTTTTTGGCCCAATCATTGCGATTTGATTGTGACTGAGATCCCTGTAAAACAAAGTTAACAAATTAAAACAAACTTTGATAAACAAATGGCAGCGATTACTACTAATACAGAATACTACCCCGCATGGAGAAATATATATGTCAAAAATATATGTTGCATATATTTACGCAAAAAAAAAAATATGTCAACATATATTTTTCACATAGATGCTGACATATATGCAGAGATACATGCTAAAATATATGTAGACATATATGTAAGCATACACTGAAAAAAAATTTCTAAGTTTGAGAATTTTTTTACTCAAATCAAGAAAGTTAAATTCTTCAAAATTATTTACTTAATTTAAGTTAAATTTTTTTCTGTGTATCTTTAGACATATATATTGCATTTATTTGCGCGCATATATGTGAACATATATCCACGCATATCTGTTAACATATATGCGGACATATATTTAGCGCAAAAAAAATATATGTGAAAATATATATTTGCATATATATTTTTTCATGCGGGACTTGTAGACACGAAACCGAGAAAGAGAAAGAGAGAGAGAGAGAAAGTAAATGAATCATGTCATAACAAATGTCATTGATCTGAAAAGTTTTGTGTATAACGCAATTGTGTAAAGTCGTTGTTGTTGTTGCGAGGTCATGTCACGACGATGAATAAATGTTCAGGGCACTTGCACTTGTCACGAGTTTGGCCTACTTAAGCCAGTGCATTATTAACGTGTTACCAGTAGGGTCACCGTCACCTCCTATACCTGGTAGTTAGTAATCATTATGATTGAGGATTGTAATATGCCATGACTGTCAATAAATCCGATATTTACAGTTTTGATAATGCACAGTAGGCATCAAACGTCTAGAGTTTTGAAAAAAATGAATAAACAAATAAATTGAAGTAGCTACGACTTACGACTCGATAACGAGGAACATTTTTTCCCGGCTACTCAGAACTTTTCGTTCCGCTTAAGTCGTGTACACGTGTGCATTGAAGCGCATAAAGTTCATTGTTCTTCGCAAGCACGGAGCGATAATACTGTCGGAATACTTGAAGAATGTTTGAGTTTGAAAGAGTTAAAGGCCAACAAAGAGATCAATTGACTTGGCACAGTTGGCTATTGGCAAAGAACACCTATAATACATGCGTACTTTTTGTCGGTCATTACTTTCTAGGATTAGACTGCATTATGGATTGCTTTATTTACATGCTTAAACGTATGCATTTTTTGCGACAAAGTAATACGCTTTTTTAGACTACTTTACTTTGCTTATATAATTTTTAGTCGTTGCGATATGGCTGTGAAAGCAATTACTAAAATAAAAAGCGTAACAAATTTAAATATGCACTGCAACAGAAATTTTTTATTGAAGATTATATTGTCCTCAATTTTAATGCTTCTCTGTCAACAGTGACTTTAAAAAATTTGTAGTTCAATGACAAGCTTTCCACTTAAAAGTTTAGCTAACAAATAGTTTGTATAATTATTAAAAAATGCAAATATTTAATAGATCGTATGTTTTTCTATACTTTCAAATGCTCTATTTCGAAAAAAATCCGATTTGTTTTAGTGGTCACATGCTACTAACGCCCCCTGTTGAAATTATTGGAAAACAAGTAAACAGCCTGTTTACTCGTTACGATAATCTGTATTTTCATTTATATTAGACATGGCTGTCTGAAAGAAAGACATTGTGATTAAAGTAATACTCGTCGAATTATATTATTTATAATCCACAGATTCGGTAGAATCTGGCGCCAAGTTCCGTTCAAATCCGTTGTAAACGGAGCGCCAGACTACCGAGTGTGTTTACTGTAAGCAGAACGGTATTTTGAGGTTGCAAAATTTTATTTAATTCTACGGTAACTTTTTTTCCTAAATTTTATATTATAACAGTAATTCATACTTTATTTTACTGATATTAATTAATTATATTTAATTTTAACAATTAATCTACTTGAAATTATTAAATTTAATCAGCACAAACTATAGCAACGCAAAAATTTCGATCCTGACTTTTTTTCGATGGGCAAAGTGATCTGCCACAGACTACATAATTCGATAGTGCATGGTAATCCTCCGATAGATAGGAAACTACAGTTAGAAAAATACATTTCACAGCTTGCATCTACACCCGCCAGGGTGCGCTGGAATTATTTTTACATAAACTGTAGCTTCAAGGGAATAGTTTGCTATAAAAATGCAGCCAACGCGAGATTTAAGTTGGTACCAATTGTAAATTTTTATTATAATTACAAAAAATACTAAAATCCGAACAAAAACAGTTTCACTGTAAAAAAAATCGCGCCAAGTCCACGTTCATAAGACTATTAAGAATAAAAAATTTTGTTTTCTTTACAAAAAGGTATAAAATAAAAAAATTAAAAAATCCAAGTAATCGATATGATTGTATATGATTTTCCGAAATTTTGGAACGTACTTGGTGTGCGTCATTGTGTATTTCAATTTTTATAAAGTCTTAGTAAATAGAATTCACGAATTTCATTAAAAGTAAAATATTTCGCAACAACGCACACTAAATACGTTCCAAAATTTTTTTTTAATTTTTAAATTTACAACATAATTTTTTCTAATTTCGGAAAATCATATACAATCATATCGGTTACTTGGATTTTTTAATTTTTTTATTTTATGTCTTTTTGTAAAGAAAACAAATTTTTTTTTTCTTAATAGTCTTATGAACGTGAACTTGGCGCGATTTTTTTGCAGTGAAACTGTTTTTGTTCGGATTAAATTAACTACCAGCAAATCGTGATCATTGGATCAGTTCACCACATCGATAATAAGAAAAGAATTAAAAAATAATCAGATTGATTGGTTGGTTTTTATTAGAGTTATAATGTTGACAATCTTAATCATTTTCAAATTGTCGACCATACTATAACGACTTGCTTATAATGTGTGTCATAATTAGTTTAAGTAAAATTAAAGCGCTCATCAACGAAAGTCTTGTATATTTTAGAAATTTTGACCATTAATACTCTTTAAGAGTCTTGAATCAAACGATCGTATCGAACTTGATCAATTGAATTTTAATCGTATCATTTTTGAATGCTTGTTTTTATCACATGAACACCTCCTGGTGCTTTAAATTACTTTTGAATTTATACACTCGTGGATTGATTAGCATTGCTAGTTTTTCCTCAGCAAAAAACGTAAAAGCTTTGCTTGAAGATAGAGTAGATTCACTTGAAAGTTATACCGGAGGTACTGCAGTCTATGATGTTAACCAGACATCAGTGATGATAGGTTAGGGACCGTTGGGGCACGGTTCGCCATTCACCGTCTACTTCTCTGAAACTCGCAATCTGTAATTATGTTCACCGTGTAGCTAAGCCTGCGATGTTGAGGCGGAGGATAGTAATGAGTATGATAGAGAGTGGAGCATTATTAAGCTTTGGAGCTGGAGTAAGACAAGCATGGGGAGATCCAAGTCCCAGTTCGCTCGAGCCAATCGAGAAAGCAATTACCGAATTTCGACGTCGCACGAACCCGCACGGGACGTTCACGATTCCGCAGTGGAATTCGCAAAGGGCTCAATGGACGATTCTCTCTTGATCTCTCGTTGCATTAGCTTCTGGATTTCTCTCTATTCCAGATGCGCGGCTTACACTATTGATAAGGCCAGTGTTAAATTCATCCGGCTAGAAATTTCGGATATTACTATTTGTTGAATCTAAATTGTATTGCTATTGTATATGATCTTCGTATTGTTCTCCCTAGATGATACGATAGTTTAATTTTTTAGTGTATGAATTTAGTAAAATGAAACATATTTATTCAATTGAAAATCGATAATGAATTTTCAAGAATAGGTATATTATTTAAAATTAAAAAATTCAGATATGTCGATCATAAAAAGAATTATAACTTTACTTTACAAACACTGTAAAACTGAAAAGATCAGTTTTGTTATAATCGGTTAATTTATTGTATCTCTTAAGCGTGAGTGCGAAGGTATACAAAGTATTCTCCTTATAAAAAGCAGCTTGGATCGCGACCGTTGCGATCCATTTAGCTGCCATATACGATACTATCGCTACTGTCAGTATATACAGTTTTTTTAACACTATCATTTTTTAGATAGCAATATACGTATCGTTATGGTACCAATATCATATTGTACCTCGCAGAAAACTTTTTTTTTTAGGTAACTTCATTTTTTCAATTTAATTTTTTTCTTTAATCTCCTCTTCTGACTTTAGGGAAGTTACATAATGAAAATTGCAGTTTAATATTATTTCAATGTCAGTTCCAAAAACTATCTGTCCTTAAAGCAGCGATACATAAAATGTTATTTCTAAATACAGCTTGAAGATACCTGATACTATGTTCAATTGTGTAACTTGCTGATCACTGGTAATACAATCTTTAATTGATTTTTTATGGTTCACGCATTTGAACGAGAGAGGGCGATCAATTCGTATGAAGAAAATATTATCCGTAAAAAAATCTAAACGAGTTTGGAAATTGAATTATAACTAAAATTAATTTTTTGTAATTTATTTTTCATTCAAATTATTGAAAAAAATTTTTTGTAGTGTTTAGTAGAGAATTATTCTTTCCTATTGACGTTTAATTAAAAATGATTAAATAATTGAAAATAGGATCAACAGTATCAATGAAAACTTGTATATTCAAATTTGATTTTTATTAATTTACGCGTAATACGAGCGATTAAGGCATGCACGTTTGAATTAACTAAACTTTTTCTTTTGTTAATTTTAAATTATGTTTTTAATTTTTGAAAGTTGAAAAATAATAAATACTCAGCTAATGTAAATACAAGCGCGTTCAAGTAATCCATTAAATCTCGCTATATATTTACAATTGTAACTTAAATAAACAATTATAACTATGACGATACTGCAAGACTTAGCACCGTCATCTGCTTTCTCTAAAGCGATTTATTTCATCAAATTTAAAAAAGTACAAATATGTATAAAGATTAAGAGATCTTTATTTTAGGATAATACGATTTAGCAATTGCTGCTACCAATTAAAGTTGGAGAAAAAGTTTTAACGATGCTGCAACCAGGCGCTGGATTCCATGATTATCTTTAAATCCTCTTGGCACGTATCTCCACTGGCACAAGACCACATAAACTCTCTTGGTATTATTTTTACTCGAGAAAAAAAAATAAAACAAATAAATAAGAACGGAATAGATGAAATATTTCAAATAACTATTTTAATTAATGTTAAAAATATAACGAATACACTTAGATAGTTCTTGTCAGAGCTAGTTGTTATGCTTTTAAACAGGTAAAAATATCAATTTTATATCGAACATAAAAGCGTTCTCAAGTCGTATCCTCGATTATATTGCATTTCATTACACATGAGAAAGTGGGTTCGAATGTACTACAATGTTTTCGAACAAGTAAAGGGCATTATTATCATTATTATTTATTTTATGTGCTTGAGGATGATGAGACACCAACAACTTTAGAGTCTCATTTGTCTGGCCACTTTGTCAGATGATGGATGTATCTCATGCTTGGCATCTCACGCCAACATACCTCGTCTCGATTTTCCGTTCTGTTATGAATATAATATCATATCATATCATATCATATCATATTATATTATGGTATCACATATAGCTTTACCATACTACTACATCTTTCATTTCTACCATTTGTGTGCACCATTCATCGCGTGCACTTTTTGACTTTACAACTCAACTCTTACTCTCAGTCTATTTCTTGCTCTTCTACAATCATTCTGTCCTTTTTTTCCTTTATAGAACGGCTAAAAAAGATCGAGAGATAATGCCAATGTCCTGGTACAATCGAGATAACTATTAAATCACGTCTGAACGTTTGCATTTTGAATTCTGTCCTCTGATAATTTTAGTTCTACCATCAAACATTTAGAATCTCAGTGACTTAATTTCCAATAAATATTTAT